ACCCTGATTTCTGAGTTGTTCTTTTCTTCTGGCAGCTCTGCACATGCGCACACTGGGAACAGGCTCTAGCTGTTCCTCTCCCTCACTGCTGTCTAGCTCCACAGGCCCCTGATCACTGCTAAATGGCCTTGACCCCATCTCTGCCTCCCACACAGAGCCCTTGACTGAGCCTTCCCCAGCCTCCAGACTGGCCCATGCTCCCCCCAACCTCCTCACTGTCTGACTCTGCTGCCAGCTCTGCTGGCAGGCCACTACAGTTCCTCCTTTTTGGATTTCTTTAATATCCAAATTGTTGTTGTCTTCTCCTCTACACTTCCAGGTTCTACACCGCACTGGGCTAAGCAATCCCGATGGACTGGCTGTGGACTGGGTGGGTGGAAACCTGTACTGGTGTGACAAGGGAAGGGATACTATTGAAGTGTCAAAACTCAACGGGGCTTACCGCACTGTGTTGGTGAACTCAGGACTCCGGGAGCCTCGAGCATTAGTGGTGGATGTACAGAATGGGTAAGTTTCCCAAATATATTAGGATTCATTTCCTTAGTCTGGGTGGCACCTTTCTTTACCCATGCTTTATTCATCCCTGACACCCCCAGTGCTTGAATGATGTAATGTTTCATTCTTTTACAGTTAACTAATTAATTTAGTCACTAAAACCATATAGCAGAAGGCTTAAACTTTAGTTACTGAACCAGAGTAGAACATTCTGGGAATAGGCCGTTTCTTGACCTATATACATCTTTTAAAGGTCAGTCAGGTTCTGCTTAAGCGATAAGGGGCTTATACAATAATCAGAGGATATTATTGTGAAATCAGGTTAGCATAAAAATTTCAATGAAGTATTAATACTGGGGGCAAAAATGTAACACAGCTGGTTTTTTAATCCAGTGTTTATTTTGGATATCCTCAAGGAGTAACACTCATCTGAGGAATTTTAGGAATATATTGCTACAAGCCCAGAAGAAAATTCCCATTTTCTAAAGGGTATCTGTTTAAATTGGGGCATTATACTACACTTCAGTGTTTTGTCTATTTAAATTGTGAGCTAAAGCTTGTACCAAAGAAGTTTGAGGGATAAAACTATATTGAATTAGTTTCTTAAAACTCAGTGCTTAGCATCACTCAACAGAAAATAAAGCCTAATTCTAGATGAATCTATAAACAATTTTAGTATAAAATCAGTGATATTAATCTCAATAGAAAATGCCATATATTTTAAAACATAACATGAAATCAACGAACTATTACAGTATGATTGTGTTAAACACAAAAATGTCCATAAACAATTGACTGTCTTCTGGAATAAAGCTAAAGCCAAAATAGTTGCCTAAACTGGAAAACGTGAAGATCTGCTTGAAGATCTGCAGACATCTCCCCTCTGCAAGAGCCCTTTAGATATAGGATAATTGGATGAATGAATTGGCTACAGTTTTTGATAACTGTTCTGCACAGTGGTGATGTTCAATTTTTTTCACTACCGGTTCTGTGGGAGTGGTGTGGTTTGGTAGGCATGGCAGGGGAAGGATACTGCAAAATCTCCATTCCCACCCCACTCTGGGGCCAGCCAAAAGTGGCATTTGCCGGTTCTCCAAACTACTCAAAATTTCCACTACCGGTTCCCCAGAACCTGCTGGATTTTACACCTGCTTCTGCAGTGGGGATTGTGGGCTTTGGCTTCATAGAACAGGAATAATGTTTCCCAATGTGTAAAGCTTCTTGGAGGGGAGGGATAGGATCTTTTTTCATATCTTGTTATATTGGATAGGGAAACTTCTCTCACTTCTCTAATGCAATGAATTGGTTGCCCGTTATTGGTACCGTGTCCATTTTTATAATACAGATAGTCCTCAACTTATGAGTCCAACATTTTTGTTACTAAGTAAGTTAAACATTTATTAAGTGAATTTTGCCCCCATTTTATGACCTTTCCTGCCACAGTTGTTAAGTGAATCACTGTAGTTGTTAAGTTAATAACACAGTTGTTAAGGGAATCTGGCTTCCCCGTTGACTCTGCCTGTAAGAAGGTCGCCCAAGGGGATCACGTGGCCCTGGGACACTTCGACTGTCATGAATGTGACTCGGTTGCCAAATTTTGATCACATGGCCATGGGGATACCGCAATGGCCATAAGTGTGAAAAACGGTTGTAAGTCATTTTCAGTGCCTTTGAACATTCACTAAATGAACTGTTGTAAGATGAGGACTACCTGTATTGTATTGTACCATTGTGAATGTAAGATTTTAACAAGATAGGGAATCAGTTTGCTCTAGTGCAAGGGTGTCAAATTCGCGTCATTATGACTTCCCCCCTTCATTAAACTGGGCATGGGCGTGGCCAGCGCATGACGCATCTGGCCCACGGACTGTGAGTTTGACAGCCCCTGCTCTAGAGTTTAAGGCACCAGGCTAGAATTACAAATTCTAGCTCCACCTTAGGCATGAAAGCCAGCTGGGTGACTTTGGGCCAGTCACTCACTTTCTCAGGCCACATCAAGCTCAGGCAAAAAGCTAGTTGGTCACAACCAATGGATCAATGCTTGATTCCCTCCCCCCTCAAGAAAAAAGCAGACTGAATACCATGTTTCCCTTTTGACCCCCGAGATAAGTGCTTGGCATTTTCGGGGAGGTCTTATTATTTTTGAGGTGCAGGAGGCAGCGAGCGTGGTCACCTCATGGCTGCTGCTGTGTTGCAATATTTTTGGGGAGGGTTTATTTTTGTGGGAGGACTTATTTCAGCACATGCGCTCAAAAGCCCAATGAGGCTTATTACCTGGGGAGGTCTTATTTTCAGGGAAACAGGGCATTTGCAGGAAAATGGTAGGCTGGGAAAAATAAACCCGAGTGATCACAGTGATAGTCCTATGCTTATGTCATACTTTCCCCCCTCCGTTTGCTCCCTTCCAGATATTTATACTGGACTGACTGGGGTGACCATTCCCTGATTGGCAAGATAGGCATGGATGGTACCAACCGGAGTGTCATTGTGGAGACTAAGATCACATGGCCCAATGGCCTCACCCTGGACTACATTAACAGCCGCATCTACTGGGCCGATGCTCGAGAGGACTACATAGAATTTGCTAGCTTGGATGGTTCTAACCGCCACATTGGTGAGTGAATTGTAAACTCATGTTCAGATGCAGAGAGATTGAATAAAGAAGCCAGAAGAAAGCTCTGGCACAGAAAATCTGATGTGATGTATATTCCTCCCATGGCCTCCAATTTCTCTCTATTCGAAAAATGTTTTTTTTTAATCAGCTAGTTTTAATTTTAGAGTCTGTTTTTAGAACCCCTCCCTCCCCTTTATTGTCTCTGACAAATATTTCCCCTTTTCTCCTCCAGTAGCATGTTGCAGAGTTCCTTGGTTTGTTGCCTGTTACTTTTCAGGCCTCTGTCATTGTATGCCATTGACATTTTTTTTTATTATTATTACAATAACTTATATATCACCTTTTGAGAGCCACTGTGATTTAGTGCCGGATGAGGAATGCAGAAACCTGGGTTCTAGTTTTCCTTTGGGTACAGAAATTACCAGGATGGTTTTGAGCAAGTCAATTTCTCTTATGGCAGGGGTGTCAAACTCATGTTGTGACAACGGCGTCACGTGACATATCGGGACTTTCCCCCCCCCTTTGCTAAATGGTGTGGGTGTGGCCAGCACATGACACATCTGGCCAGTGGCTCACGAGTTTGACAGCCCTGTCTTAGGACAAATCAGCATTGGCTTCTGTAACAAGCTGGTTGAAAATTAAAACTTCCTGTTGCCCTGTGCATTGACAGATTTGCTACAAGTACTGCAGCAAACACAATGCAGAACAAGTGGACCTTCTAAGTGAGACAAATAACAACAGCAGCCCACATATCACCGTTCAGAATACACGTTCAACAAAGTAGATTAAAAATGACAGCATCAATAATAAAACTCATTACACGCAGAGAATAAATACAGCAGAACCATATTTCTGGGCTCTGCCTATTTAAAAGTTGAGGGGGGGGAGTTGCATGTTGTCCTCATATATCCTGTCAGATTTCATTTGTTGTAAGATTAAAGTATCTGGAACAGTTTCCATAAAGAGGAATAAGTCCTGTAATCATCATGATTTTTCTCTCTTTTTTTGGAAGTAAAAATTGGGACTGGGAAGACTTGCCTCCTATGCATATGCAGTGGCATTTGAATGCCAGCTCTTTATCATCTTAGGCACATGGTGAACCACAGTTGTTGTGTGGATTGATTGTCCATGTTATATTTTGATATCTGTTTTTCCTCACTGTAATGACCTTTGGATCTGCCAAATGTAGAAAATGGAAGCAGCAAACTGTGTGGCAATCATCATGAGAATGGATGTGCCAGCCAGAGCTGAACTGCAGTTTCTTTCCCCTTATAAATTAGCGTGTTAGAACAAAAATGTAGGGTTGGTTTTCTTCATAGTTGAGAATGAACCAAAGCTTTAAAATTGAGTCCAGACTTTTTTTTGGGAAATCATTGGCAAAAGATGGAATAAAGCATAGGCCTTCCGTTTTCCCTGCCGTGGTGTGCAGTGATTGGAATGGACTTTGCTTCTGACCAGCTCAAGGTTGACTCAGCCTTCCATCCTTCCAAGGTCAATAAAATGAAGACCCAGATTGTTGGGGGGGGGGAGAACATGCTGGCTCTGTAAACCGCTTGGAGAAGGCTGTAAAGCATAAGTCTAGATGCTATTACTATTGCTATTTTCCAAATTGGAAGCTGATTTTGAGATCAGTATGTGCAGCATGTATAGATATTTTACCTGGCTCCTCACTGTTACAGTACTACTATCTTTAATTCCAAGAACCACTACTCTGAATGATACAAATGCATAATATCATCCCAAGGGCTAATACAAGGAGTTAAAAGATTGCAACTAGCAAGTATGAGGAGTTAGGAAAAATGAAATTGAATGCTTAGAATTCTCCTATTGCCATCACATTTTTTTCTGTTTTTTATTCCTATTTTTCATTAGACTAACAAAATGAAAATATGCATTTCAGTTTAACCCCACCTGTCATAAGTGGCTGCCATATATACTTGTAAATAAGCCAATTATAAAAACTAAATCTGGCTTAATGCACTGGTGATGCATTTTTCATGGTATTTTGGTTAAAAATTCGAGGGTCAGCTTATTCGCAGATGGTCTTATCCATGAATATATACAGTATAGATAAATAAACATATTGGGCTCATAAGCTATTCAAATCAAACCCAGCTCCGAGTAATGTACATTCCAACCATCATAAATTAGGTTAAAAACATTCAGCAATACGGGGAAATGAAAAGCAACCATAATTCATTAAAAAGTTACAGCACTAATCCATTCAACCAAGCCAAAGATAACTTCTGTTGCTCTAGGGAACAAGTTGTACTATGTTATCCCCCAAGGCCTAATAGAATAAATGTTTTTTTGATGCTTTCTAAAATAAAGAAGATAATCTTTTGGGTAGCGAGGAGCATATTGTTCAGTAGAGGAGGGGCATTGGGGATAGTTGTCATTCTTAGTTGTGAATATTTTGCCATAGTACTGAGCAGATACTATCCTTGCCACTAAGTGAAAGTTGCTCTTTCTTCTCCCACTGTAGTGCTGAACCAAGATATCCCCCATATCTTTGCCTTAACCCTCTTTGAAGATTACATTTATTGGACTGACTGGGAGACCAAATCCATCAACCGAGCCCACAAAACCACGGGGGCCAATAAGTCTGTGCTGATCAGCACTCTGCATCGGCCCATGGATATCCACATCTACCACTCTTACAGGCAGCCAGATGGTAAGTGCTCTCTGTAAGGTGCTGAAAGGAGGATGCAAGGGATTATGCATAGGGATCGATCTCAGTTACCATAACGTGGGGCAGTGTTAGGAACAATAAAATGAGGATATGTCCCTCAAGAGATGGAAGGGCAGAGATGGGAGGACAGGTTGGTGGTGGTAAAAACAAGGAGCAGAGCTGTTACTTGAGTCCTACAACTGCCAAGTCCTGGCAGTTGATACTGCTTTAATGAGCCCTGGTGGCACAGTGGTTAGAATGCACTACACCAGTTCGATTCGGACCAGCTCAAGGTTGACTCAGCCTTCCACCCTTCCATGGTTGGTAAAAAGAGGACCCAGATTGTTGGGGGCAATATGTTGATTCTGTAAACCACTTAGAGAGGGCTGTAAAGCACTATGAAGCGGTATATAAGTGTTAATGCTATACTGGAGGTCCAAGCACAGTAAACCAACTGGCAGCCACTTTGGTGATGGAGGAAAAATCCCTAGGAACATTGTTGATCAGGACATGTTTCTTTTTATTTTCCTTCAAATAGATGTCATTCCTTTCTCTCACATGCAAATTGAATTTTGCATTCATTTGCTTTTAGTGGGTGAGTATGTTTGTGCATACAAGAGAAGTTTGTGGAGTGAGGTTCTCCTTATACATGGTGATGAATATTGTGATATCTTTGTGCAGTAGAACAGGGATCAGATGTCTTTGGCAAAGGTCGCATCACCACAAGCAGCTATTAACTATTTATTAACTAACTTATCATTATCTTATCCTTCCTCAGTTCCTAACCATCCTTGTAAAATCAACAATGGCGGCTGCAGCAACCTGTGCCTGCTGTCACCAGGAGGGACCTTCAAGTGTGCATGCCCTACCAACTTCTATCTGGGTGGTGATGGTAAAACCTGCATCTCCAATTGCACTGCTAGTCAGGTAACCAGCTGGGACACCCAAACATTGCTCCATTATTTATAAATCCTCTTTGTCAGGAATGCAACTTCCATCTGCTCAAAGGTGGCATCATCTTGAGCAGGGATGTCAAACTCAGGGCCCTTGGGCCACAGGCGTCACACGCTGGCCACCCCTGTTTTAGCAAAGGGGGGGGGGGTGAGTCAAATAATGACAATGTGACACTGCGAGTTTAACACCCCTGATCTTGAGGACCACATTATTAAGTACAGAAGTCCACATTTGGGGGGGGGGGGAAGGATGAGTATTTACAAGGCTTAAAGATTTGTTTATTTTACTGTGATATCATATCAAAATCCAAAGATGCAAAAGATTTGCCCCCCCTCTCCCCCCTTTTTTTTGCCTTCTATGTTCTGGTCATCATAAAAGAGATGCTGATAGATTACGTCTTACTTTTTTCACCCTTACTCTATGTTAATACCCTTCATGCACTGCTTTCTCAAGGGATTCTTAATACGCTTCAGCACTGAGAACGCAAAGTTTTGGTAAAAGGAGGGATAAAATATTGGTGAGGTAGAAACCAAGGATTATCCAAAGATACCACAGAACGGTCTGGATATCTGGAATGGTGGTTTTTTGAGGTTGGAATGGGAGGTTTTGTATTTTAGATGTGCCACCAATTTTCAGCAGCATCATTTCAGCAGGCTATATGAGATGCCGAAGAGGATTGTGGTTAGGATAGTTTTAAGCATCAAATTGCCCTTTTTTGCTGTTACATCTTAGGAAGACTTCCAAGCCAATAAAAGGGAAGTCTTCATTCAAATATGAGGGTCTGTTGGATCCATAGAACTTCCAACCAGCGTATTCATTTCATTGATCTTCAGTTGGAGAAAATAATCCCTTTTCACTGACTTCCAAAAATAAAAACAAGGCATTTTTATTTGGTTTGGTTTGGTTTAATTCAGGAAGAGCCATGAATTAATGTATGGAATGATTAGAATTTGAGTTCCTATCACAGCTTCTAATAGGCATTTTTTTGGAGGCTGTTTCTAAGCTCTAACATAGCCGAAGTCACTGGCTGGAGTTTGTCTTGTGGTGATGGCTTATGTTCCTCTGACCATTACTCAGCCATTATTTCAGCATCATTACCTTTTCTCCCTGCCAGTTTGTGTGCAAGAATGACAAATGCATCCCTTTCTGGTGGAAATGTGACACCGAGGACGATTGTGGGGATCGTTCGGATGAGCCGGAGGATTGCCGTAAGTCTACTTTTGGGAGGAGACTTAGGCGGGAGAGACCCTTGTCATAGATTTAGATAGATGATAATCCTGGCTGAAAACAGCTAGAGGGCCTAGGTAATAATTTTGAAGCATTGAAGTGAGTAGAATTTGTATCCGGCATTTGGACTTGATAAGCAGTTTGGTTACTTTAGAACTGTAAGACTCCTTTGAATTAAGCTCTATTTCTGTTGACCGTATCTAAGACTTTGGTCACAGCGCAGAAACAATTTGTCTTTGCCTTCTTCCAGAATAAATAAATATGTATGTATGTATGTATGTATGTATGTATGTATGTATGTGTATATGTGTGTGTGTGTGTCTGTGTGTATGTATGTATGTATGTATGTATGTATGTATGTATGTATGTATGTATGTATGTATNTGTATGTATGTATGTATGTATGTATGTATGTATTTAGTGTCACAACCCCTGGTATGCCCAAATATGGGAGGAAGCATACTGCTTCCATTCTCTGTCTATCGGCTCGTCACAAGAGACCATAACGACAGAAAGCCATTATTTTTACTGTTGCCTTTGTTATATATATAAATAAATAAAAAACGACTGGCCTACAGGCCTGATATTTTTTAGCAGTCCCCATCCAGATTTTAACAAGACCCAATCTGCATACTTTTAAAGATCAGCTGATACTCCTTTGGATCAGCATACTTAAGCAGCTCCAGGTTCAAATTAGCATCTCCTTCATTCAGAATTCCTATCCATTGTTCCATTTATGTAGCGCTAAAATAGATCCATCGAAAAGTATTATACAGGTAGTCCTCGAATTACAACAGTTCCATTACTGACCATTCAAAGTTATGATGGCACTGAAGTGTCTTATGACCATTTTTCACACTTACGACCATTGCAGCATCCCTATGGTCACATGATCAAAATCCAGATGCTTGGCAACTATCTCATACTTACGACTTACTTACGGGAGTCATGTGATCCCCTTTTGCAACCTTCTGATAAGCAAAGCCAATGGGGTATCCAGAGTAACTTGACAACTGTGTGTTGCTAACTTAACAAATGCAACGATTTCGCTTAACAATTGTAGGAAGATCATAAAATGGGACAAACTCCCTTGACGAATGTTTAACTCGGCTGCATAAACGTTGGGCTCCATTGTGGTCGTAACTTGAGGACTACCTGTACTTCTTTGTGTTATCAGCCTCCTGGATGACAGCCCTGTGTTTTTGAATTTGAGGCATTGGCCAAAGATCATTTGTTTGACATCTGAAGGGTGTTTCATGATTTCATAAGCTCCTTAAAGCTGGTTCCCCAATGTAAAGCATGTCCAAGCCTAATGCTAAAATTGACATCATGGAATCTCTTATTGTGCTGTTTAACTCTTAAGGAATGGAATCCAGGGAGTACTAACCTAAAGGAAATACACCTCAGGGAGGACATAACTGATTCCTCTAGCCATATATTAAACTTGCCAGCAATCCTTCAAAGAAGAATTCTTGCTGTGCAATGAGTAGCAGCTGGTTGTTGCTGAAAGTAACTTGGGTGTGTTTTGCACAGACCTTAATCCCTAGCGGGTAAAACCCCACAACCTAAAATTCCCTGAATTTGATTTGAGTTATTTGCTGACAAATTAGGTTCCTTGCAGTAATGGAGTAATCTGAGGTGGGGAAAACGAAGCTGCCCCCTGCCCTCCAGAGATAATTAAAATATAATTTTAATTTTAAAATTAAAAGCTATAGCTACCAGCGGTCAGTTATTTCAAAACATTTACAGAATGAGCAGTCAAATGCCTGGTAACCAAGGGTTGTCAGAGTCACTAGCTGGCTGGCTTAAAAGAAAGAAAGTACACCCCAAACTGTTTTAAATCGTGACTCTTGGCCCAGATGAGGGAAGTTTGAGGCATTTTGGATCTCTTGGTGTATGTACTGATGAGATGTACGAGCACTCCCACTGAATAGCTTGTCTATTTACCTGCATAAAAATGGCTGTGGTACTTATTTCCTCTCCCCAAGGTTCAGAAGCTATGAATACTCTTCCAGATAAATGTTGATCCCCACCACTCCAATATTTTTTAAAACCTTTGTGAGCTGCACAGTCCATAGACACCATTTTGCTTACCTAGTCCAGTGTAGTCTGATGGATGGTGATGCTCCAGAGTCTTTAATCAAAGGTCTCCCCCTTAATCAGCTGCCTGGTCCAAACTTGGAGCCAGGGACCTTTTGCTCCTTAGGAGCTTCTCCCAAGGGACCACATCAGGGGTGAAATCCAGCAGGTTCTAACCAGTTCTGGAGAACGGGTAGCGGAAATTTTGAGTAGTTCGAAGAACCGGCAAATGCCACCTCTGGCTAGTCACAGAGTGGGGTGGGAGTGGAGATTTTGCAGTATCCTTCCCCTGCCACGCCCACCAAGCCACACCACGCCCACCAAGCCACGCCCACAGAACCGGTAGTACAAAAAATTGAATTCCACCACTGGACCACATTCTCTTTCCGCTTATTCTTTCCAGCTGAATTCAAGTGTCGCCCAGGGCAATTCCAGTGCTCTACAGGAATCTGCACCAACCCAGCCTTCATTTGTGATGGGGACAACGACTGTCAGGACAACTCAGATGAAGCAAACTGTGGTACGTATCCATAGCCTTCCTCACATTATTTCACAGAAGATGTTTCAGTTCCCCCCCCCACACACACACACAGGGGGGAGGGAAATTTCAAATCAGCCATGTTAATATGTAATCCCTTATTTTAAAAGGCAGAACTTCAAAACTATAAAAAAAAATGCGAGCCACCCCAAATTTATCACTTATTTACTCAGAAAAGAGTAAAAATGGGGGAGATCTTGGTGGTGGTGGTGGTGGTGGTTTTAAAACAGCCATTTCTCAGAACCTAGTGTGAAGATCAGAAAAACATTGCCTCTGTCCCTATGAATCCTCGTGCTGTGCTAAAAGCCCTCCGAGTGAAACCTTTCCTTCTCATTCCTTTCTCTTCCCGTCCCCTTTCCTCTTCTGCTTTCCCTTTCCCCTTTTGATTTCCTTAATCTTTTATGCGATAGGAATGGCAAACCACGGAAAGCAAAATGATCCTAAGCAGAACTGCTCTTTCCTCCCTACTTCTCCATTTCCCTGAAATTTCAGAGTAAAGATAAGAAATCTAAGTGCACGGGAGTCTTTCAAGAATGACTGCCATGGAAGTAAATCCTATGAGAATGCCTGACAAAAGTTAGGATTCAAGGGTGTAACTGGTCAACCTTCTCTCTGTCAACTATCCCATTAGCACAGAGTTCCCCATCCTTTCTGGATTGGCGGCCTGCAGTGGGGGAGAGTGGGGGGGGGAAAGAGGATGGTTTTGTGTGAGGGGCAGGCATATGCATGTATGAACACCCGTTGTGTGAGTGGGGCTGCGAGGGCCTGCAATGCTCGCAGTGACCCTTGTGCAAATGGGCTGTGTGTGAGTACCTGCACGAGTATGGCCACTAGCCTCCGCAATGATCACATCAGTGGGGCCATGAGCACCCATAGTGGTTGCAGTAATGCTCACGCCAGCGGGACTGTGTGTGTGGGCACATACACGCCCACCAGCCAGCTACTCACACTGTCCGGTGGCCAATAGGCAATATACGCAGTAATGGGCTGTGGCCGATAGGTTGGGGACCTCTGCATTAGCATATGCAGGAGAAAAAAAACCTCCTGGAACATAATTTTACCAATGGTGTAATTTTACTGAGAGTGTTTCCACAGACAGCTGCATAGGTAAAGTTCCCCTTGAGACCTCCCTCTGCCCATTGTTCGCCATCCAACGCTTTCTTTGTTTGGAAAACAGTCGATGCCCTTCGAAGAATTCCCATAACATGACCTTGAAGTGAGAGAAATTTTCCCAGGGCCCAGCTGGCTCGCTTGATTCCTCAGCCTTTCCCCAACTCCCCCCACCCCCAAGGCTTCCACTCCCCACCCCCACCCCCCTTCCGTCTCTGTTGTCAAGCTGTGAGGAAAATTGCATGCTGGGTTAGAATCCAAATCAGCTTTTGACGCGCTCCCCCTTAGAGCTCGATTCATTTCTCTCTTTTTTCTTGACAGAAGTCCATGTCTGCCTGCCCAGCCAGTTCAAATGCACAAACACCAACCGTTGCATCCCAGGCATCTTCCGTTGCAACGGGCAGGACAACTGTGGTGACGGAGAAGATGAGAAGGATTGCCGTAAGTAAAGCGACCAGAGTCCTTTTTCCTGCCTTTTCTCTATGCCAGGCTTGTCAAAAGATCAGATGTGCTTGCGCGATTAGCATAATCTCAGTAAACATCCTGGGGAGTCTGTTTGTACATGAAAGGCAAATTACAGTACATTGCTAATTCTGCACCATGTTAGTAAAATCGCACACAGAAAAAAAATGGAATTTTGCAATCTGTCGTCATGATGCAAAGTAAATAAATCTGCAGGGGTTGAGGTTCGGGGTGAGTATCAAGCTTCGTTTTTGAGATGTGGAAGCCCCGGTCCTTAGAAAACTGAATTCCGTTCAGAAGAAGAAAGTGAACAGATGTGGAATTAAATACCTCGCAGAGATGGTCCTTGGCTTACAACAGTTCATTTAGTGACCGTTCAAAGTTACACCAGCACTGAAAAAAGTTACTTATGACTGTATTTCCCAGTTATGACCTTTGTAGCATCCCCATGATCGTGTGATTAAAATTGAGATGCTCAGCAGCTGGTTCATACTTATGACCGTTGCCGTGTCCTAAAGTCATGGGATCCACTTTTGTGACCTTTGAACAAGCAAAGTCAATGGGGAAGCCAGATTCATTTAACAACCGAGTTACCAACTTAACAATTTCAGTGATCCACTTAACAACTGTGGCAAGAAAGGTTGTAATATGGGCCAAAACTCACTTAACAAATGCGTCACTTAACATAAATTTTGGGCTCAGTTGTGGTTGTAAGTCAAGGACTACCTGTATGGTTTTCTTCAATGGAGGGGCAATAGCCAGCATATATAATGTTGTGGGTCAGTGTCTGATTGCATAGAGTGGGCATTTATTCGAAGGAACGCCCATTATATACCGGGGTTTATCTCCTGACTCCCACTTTCTTTTTTTACAGCGGAGGTGACTTGTGCTCCAAACCAGTTCCAGTGTGCCATTACCAAACGCTGCATCCCACGAGTTTGGGTTTGTGACCGTGACAATGACTGCGTGGACGGATCCGATGAGCCTGCCAACTGCAGTAAGGCTCCTTGCATACTATGGGAGCTGGCTTTGAGAAGGAGAGAATTATGTCTTAGGTCTCCAAGAATGCCCAGTGACTGGCTTTGGTCTTCCTTTGTCCATTTGAGTCACTAAATTGAAACCTGAAAAGCTAACCGTTTAATGGCCTTAGCCTTTGTGGACTTATTGAAAACCAGTTTTCTTTACTTGAATATTTCTGAAACAAGAAAACCTCTAATGACTAGCTAGCTTTCTGTGCCTTGGTGGCTATTATTATGACTCAGATGATCAAGGCAAGGCAGACCTCTAGAGCAGGGGTCTCCAACCTTGGCAACTTTAAGACTTGTGGATTTCAACTCCCAGAATTCCTCAGACAGCAAGGAATTCTGGGAGTTGAAGTCCACAAGTCTTAAAGTTGCCAAAGTTGGAGACCCCTGCTCTAGAGAATTCTTTATTTCTCTCAACAAATGTTCCAACCAATGGCCCTCAAACAACCGGGAAAGGCTCCACCCCCTCGCTTCCCTGAAGGCAGCCATCCTCAGTCTCACAAACATAACCCCGTTAGTAGAAAGAGAGCCCACTGAATAGGACACACTCACAGGGCAAGGTCCAGGGTTCCAGGTCCAACCCACAAGGCAGAGTCCAGGCACAAGACGAGGGCAGTCTTCAGGACAAGAAGCAGCTCCAAAGGCAGAGTGGAGCAAAGGCCAAACACAGGCCACAAGAGAAGGGCTAGATCCGAAACAAAATGCCAAAAGTAATCTTACAAGCGAGTCAAGGCAAAGAGCAACAGGCAGAGTAAAAGCCAGGGGGAGTGTAAGCCAAAGCAAACAATTGTTTCTGGCAAGACTAACTCCCCATGGCTTCTCCTTAAGTTACTCTCCCCTCCTGGTGTTCCTTGTGAGGACAGGTGGGGCGACCTCCTCCCAAGTAGCCTTGAAGCCATTCTCTGGGTTTGCCTATGCTCTACTCTTCTTGCCCTTGGATGAATGGAGTAGTCAGCTGTTCCTCATCAGAGGAGATCAGTTGCCTAACAGCACAAGTGCCAGTCAGCAGCCAATCCTCTCCTGTGTCTGTACAGGCAGGCAGTTCTCCATCTGGTCGACCACCTACTCCAATGCCTGAGGGGCCCAGGACAGCATCGCCCTCAGCCCCTGGCATCTCCAAACATCCCAAGGGAGACGTGCCTTCCCTGTTGGGCGGTCCCAGTTCTAACTCCTCCTCCTCCTCCAAACCGGGCTGTGATGGGGCCGTGAGAGTTGTGTTATTGATGCATGCAATTTTCTAAAAGCAGTCTGCTTGTGCCTCATTTTGGAGGGCCCTTTCATTTCTTTCATCCTTTTGACTCCTGTAGCACAAATGAGATGTGGTCTGGATGAGTTCCGGTGCAAGGATTCTGGCCGATGTATTCCAGCGCGTTGGAAATGTGATGGCGAGGATGATTGTGGGGATGGTTCAGATGAGCCCAAGGAGGAATGTGGTAAGTTGGCTGTACCATGGCTGGCTGGCTCCATTTAGAAGGGATAGGGGCTGGTAGGCTGCATGCACTTCCTTGTTCCCAAGAATTTAGGTAGATACACCCTTTGGTGCCAGGCTGTGGGGTTCGGCTCTTTTGCTAACAGCAGCCAGTTTCTAATTTTAATCTGTTTCTGGACACTTTCCATGCTGCACATTGTGTGCTACAGTAAAGGATAAAGTTTTCCCAATGTTACAATGTGGTCCAAAACTGTTCCTTATACTATTAGAAAATTCTCCTTGGGAGCATGTGCAATTTGATTTTTACTGCAATTTTCTTCATCAATGCTGTTCATTTCTTGCGCCTTTTTTTTACCTCTCCACATTGCACATTCTTCATTTTTTTTAGATGAACGGACTTGTGAGCCCTACCAGTTCCGCTGCAGGAACAACCGCTGTGTTCCAGGCCGCTGGCAATGTGACTATGACAACGACTGTGGGGATAACTCGGATGAGGAAACCTGTAGTATGTGCTCACTTCAACCTTATGCTACTGTGTTTGCATGTGGGGAAGAAGGAGATGACCTTTCCTTACCTTTTCTTATCTACTCATGCCTAATTTTAGGAAGATTATAAAACAACTTTTGCTTGTAGAAAATGGGTACTGAATAAAGCAGGCATCTTCCCATTAGATAAGCTCCCATTAGTGTAAGAAGCGATAAAGAATTGAGGTAGAAAAAAATACTGGTTGAGTTTCAAGTTTAAATAGCAATAATTTGAGAGGACAAATGTTGTGTGCTGCTTGAGCCAGACCCAAAAGATGCCCAACTAGACAAATATTTCCCTTGCATTTCTTCTGTGCCAATTCTTGTGACTATCTCAGCTGGTGGTATCTCCATGAAAATAATGTCTTTGCCATTATCATATCCCCAACTAGATAGGCCTGAGAAAAGGTAATAGAAAGACTTAATTGTGCATATCTTACCAGAATAATTTTCTAAATAAACTACCCTAAATAGCAATAGCACTTAGACTTATATACCGCTTTACAGTGCTTTTACAGTCCTCTCTCAGCGGTTTACAGAGTTAGCATCTTGCCCTCATTAATCTGGGCCCTCATTTTACTGACCTCGGAAGGATGGAAGGCTGAGTCACTCTTGAGCCACTGAGATTTGAACTGCCAAATTGCGGGCAGCCAACAGTCAGCAGAAGTAGCCCTGCAGTACTGCACTCTAACCACTGCGCCACCACGGCTCAGTCCCAAAGGTGCTTTTTCAAGAGGTAACTGGACTTTCTGGTTTTTCTTTGAAGCTGTTCGCTTCTCATCCAAGAAGCTTATTATTAGAGCTGAAGAAGCTTCTTGGATAAGAAGCGAAACGACTTAAAAAAGCACCTTTGGGACAACCATGACCTGGATGACTGAGAATCTCCATAGATATTACTCTAAATAGTCTTTCTATCTGCATTGTTTTAATCTTCTGGTACCAAACATTTGGGTGCTCTTCATGTACACACTTCCCCTTCCCAAAATAACTAAGAGGAATCTTGGTCAGATAAATACTTTTTTTTAACAGTTGTATGCAATATTCTTGGGTGAATTGTACAGGACGCCAATTCGTTGAATGCTCTGGATATTGATGAGGCTGATGAGGCTATTGAGATGTTCAAAAAAGATGATCAGCCTTTGGGTATCTCAAGATGGAAGGGAAATCCATAGACAAATTTTGCTTTGACTGAATGGTAACCATTCTGCTGTCGCTGTTTGATATCAGTTGACCGGGATAAAAACGTCCAACAAGATACTAAAAAAAAGGCAATAGCAATAGCAATAGCAGTTAGACTTATATACTACTTCATAGGGCTTTCAGCCCTCTCTAAGCGGTTTACAGAGTCAGCATATTGCCCCCAACAACAATCCGGGTCCTCATTTTACTCATTTTTCCTAGACTCAGATGGAAGGCTGAGTCAACCCTGAGCCGGTGAGATTTGAACAGCCGACCTGCAGAACTGCAGTCAGCTGAAGTAGCCTGCAATGCTGCATTTAACCACTGCGCCAACTCGGCTTCCCCCTTAAATAAGTATTGTATCGGGGCGTGTACAGGTAGTCCTCAACTTACAACCACAACTAAGCCCAAAATTCCTGTTGCTAAGCAAGACATGTGTTAAGTGAATGTTGCCCTACTTTATGACCT